GCTTAGGGCAGCGGTTCTCAACCTGTGGATTGCGACCCCTTTGGGGGGTCGAACAATCCTTTCACTGGGGTCGCCTAGGACCATCCTGCATATAAGATATTTACACTACGATTCACAACAGTAGCAAAATTACAGTTATGAAGTAGCAACGAAAATCATTTTATGGCTAGGGGTCACCACAACATGAGGAACTGTACTAAAGGGTCGCAGCATTAGGAAGGTTGAGAACCACAGGCTTAGGGGTAGTGGGAGAGGAAATAAATGGCAAATAAGTGGCAAAGTCTGTTGAATTTACAAGACTAGGTGGGCACTGAGGATCTCTTCACTACTCTCTCCCACCTTTGTGTTTGAAAATAGTTTTCGTTAAAAAAGTATCCGTTAGTGACACACAATGCTAAGCGTTGGGGGTGGGGGAAGGCTGTAAATATGAGATTTTTAAAGGGAATCGTTGTGTGCAAGAGAGGAACCCACGAGCCGTGCGGGGTACGAGGGCAGCGCTATCGCCCAGGAAACCCTGCCCCAGTGGAAAGCACAGGAAATCAAGACTAGTAAGCACTAACAGGAGCCTTGGAGGTAAACTCGAAACAAATCGGAACCCGACTCGCCACGACGGCTTCCCTCACGACCGCACCAGCACCAGCAGCAGCAGCCGGAGGATGGAGTAACGCCGGGACCGGCGCGCGCCTGCCTCGGGGGCCGCCTGGGAACTGGCGCCTGCGAAGGCTACGCTGATTCCTCGGCCGCGGCGGGAGACCGGGGCCGGTCAGGCCCCAGCGCGCAGCCCGCGGCTTCCCGAGTCCAGGCGCCTCACCTCTTCCGTGCCAGCTGTCGCCGGACCTCCCTGTCCTCGGGAGTTTCCTTCTTCCTTTCGTCTTCTTCCTCCTCGTCCTCCGTCCCGGCTCGGCACGGCGCTTTAACCACCTCACCGAAGAACGTGGCCGCCATAGCCTCCCCCACCGGCCCGCTCCAACCGCGGCGCAGGGGCACGGCGCACGCGCCCATGCGGAGCCCCGCCCCGCCCCGCCCCCAGCAGGGCACGCCCCCTACACCACCGGCTTGTGCCGCCACACACCTGCCCCGCCAGATCCCGCAGCGGATAGGTTCAGGTTAGCCGCGGCTGCCTGAACCCAGAGAGCGGGACACCCGGCTGCGAGCTATACAGGCGGGAAGCGAGCGGGAGGGCTGGTCCCACCGGGACCGCTTGTTCCCGCAGGTAACTGACTTCAGAATCGGAGTTCAGTCACCTTCTTGCCCAGTCTGGGACAATTTGGAAAGTGTACGTTCTACAGGCATTGCCTGCCTTCTCTCGGTTTTCCTTTTCCTTTTCTTTTGGAAGTGATGGGGTGAACTTCGCACTTAGACAGTTCCGAACATCGACGGCCCAAGTAGGTAGCGGCCCTGGAGCACTTTTGAAGCCGACGAGGACGAACGGCTGTACCGAGCGCCCCCCATGGCCCTGCGCCTGTGTAGGGCCCTGGCGCGTCCTGGCCAGGGACGGTGGGGATTGAAGGCAGTAAGAAATACAGTGCTTCGTGGTGTTAAGAATGAGACCTTTACTCTGCAATAAGAATTCATATTTCAAAAGCTGGTGATTGTCAAGCTGATCTAAACATTTTTATGAGAATGTAAAAATAGTCTCTTTTTTAAACGGCCATTTATAATACAAAAAAACCTTTTAATACCCTTTTATTAATAAGTATGTGATTGTTTCTTAATTAGTCTTAAAATGAGCTGGAAGACAAAGTTCAAGGAACACTCTCCCCCAGGCAAGGGAAAAAGGGGAAAAGTGTATCACAGGTTAACTGAAAATGAAAGTAGCCAGTACTGCAATGACAGTTTCCTAGACTTAGTTGTGATGAAACACATAGCACTGCCTGCATTTGGGGATTTTGTCAGTAGTTTCATAGGTTAAGTACTACTTCCCGGTCAGAGGGAGCCTCTTGGGATTAAAAAAAAGAAAAACTCTAATAAAAGTTGCTGGAAACACGTTCCAAGACGTGGATTAATAAGGATCCACAAAAACAATTACATGAAATCAGTATTTAGCAATTTCACACATCTATTGCAAAAGTTTTTGAGTTTTGAATTTAAGACCAAATTGCGAGCCAGTAAGAGCTTAAGAAACTTTGAGTATCCTTAGTGAAACAGAATATGCAAGATTATACATACATATATATATATATATATATTTTGGGGGGGGGTAGAGACAGAGTCTCACTTTGTCGCCCTAGGTAGAGTGCGATGGCGCCACAGCTCACAGCACCCTCCAACTCTTGGGCTTAGGCGATTCTCTTACCTCAGCCTCCCGAGTAGTTAGGACTACAGCGCCCACCACAACGCCTGGCTATTTTTTTGTTGCAGTTTGACCAGGACCGGGTTTGAACCCGCCACCCTCTGTATATGGGGCTGGCACCCTACCCTCTGAGCCACAGGCATTGCCTGGATTAACAATGTATTTTAAAACTACATTAGTACTCCTGGGTTAACTGATCTAATTAATGACTAAATTGCAAAATAAAAAGGTTGTTCGGGCACCACTTGTCTTAGTCCTTTAGTTAAATAATTTGTCATTTTTACCAGTAAGACCTTCAATTTGATTTCACAATTCCATTATGAAGAAATATTTTCTGCAAAGCTGATTAGAATTATGCAAATAGTAGGTAATGGTAATACATTTGGCCATGACTTTAAATTTTGCATACATTTGGGACAAAACAGTTTCACAAGAAATGTTAAATTTTAAACAAATGCTTATTGCATGCAGTTACAATAAATTTAGGCCAAGCACTTAAAAAGGGGGGGGGGCAAATATATGTTCAAATTAAATACTAAGCCAGAAGAGGGATTCTATTGTGAAAGACAAAATACAATCTCAAATAGTAACAAAATTAACACCACCACAGTAAATTATAAATTCAAAGCTTAAATTGTTTCATTACAGACATTGCTAAAAAGCTTCCCATAAAATAGGCTTCACTGAGACTTAAATATTTTTGCTTTATAGTATTTGTTGAAATATACCCAACAAGAAATTCATATTGTAAATTTAAGTATAAACCTAGGACTGAAAATAAGTTTAAGCATTTCATAGAACTCAAAAATCAAACCCCATGCACCTATAATTGCAGTTTATTAGGAATTCTTCCCTTTCTCACCTGTACTAGTAACACAAGATACTGGGGAACAGTATTTCAGATGAAAGTATACTACAAAAAGAGCAAAGGACACAGACTTTGTAGATTAGAGTATTCTGGCTTATGTATTTAAAAAATCCCACAAAAATAAAGCCTTTTTTTTTTTTTAACAGACATGCAAGCACACACAAATTTCTCAAGTAATTTAGACACTTGGTCCATCTGTATAACCAAAAAATAAGCATAAAATGTAATAAAAAAGGAATAGAAACTTCTAGGTTTCTAGTTTACTTTTTCAGATTTACACATGCAAATCATATATTAATATTCACAGATTTTTTAAATGGGAAAACTTGCTTCTATTTTTTCCAATTACATGTTACTATGTTATAAAGATTTGACAGTACATTCATTTAATCTGATAATCTTAATTTCAACAAATACCTACTGACAACAAAATCCCCCTGCAAATAAATTCTTTATTGTACTATGACCAGATTTTCTAATCCTAGCAAAGACCACAATGAAATAAGCCAAACATGCTACCATTAAAGTATGTGGGGATGAGACTGCAATAAATCTGCTCAAAGTGTTCAAGTTCTAACTTTTAAGGTGCTGCAGAGAAATTAGAAATAGGGTTTCACTGTCCATCTAAAAATATGACTGTTTTGATCTTAAGCTATACTTTCTATTTTCTAACTGATTAAGACTTGCCTCTTAATGAGGCACGTTTTGGCTTCTGTAAATGCTGCTACATAAAAGAAATAAGAAAAAGCTGTCACATTCATAGCTTTCATAGAAAAATATATATTCCCTGAATAAGTCATATCAAGTGGTCATCATTCAGTATTAATTCCAGTATTATAAACAAAATAAGGTATTAATGGACTTTCTTTCTAATTGCCTGTTCCCAACATTCTACACTTCAGAACTCAAGAAATCAACTTCCCCAGCTTTGAATCCCCTGGTCCTTGTAGTTTAAATTATTTTAGACCTTTGGGATATGAATGAATTACAGGGATTGGATCTGGGATAAGTTTTTGCTTCACTCAAAAAAGTCAGTTCACCGCACTTCCTTTGGAAATGTGCCTAATTCCCCCTGCCTTGATTTCAGTAATGACACCAAGTCACAGTGGTAAATTTTTATACTCTAATGGGAACCCTTAAAATTAGCATCAGGTGAGATTTTGAAGTTTTCTCAGTCTTTGACATTTTTCCTACCCACTCTATATACTTCCCATTGTTTTCTTCTTCTAAGGAACCAGGTGATTTCAAGGCCCTTGATTTCTGGAAAGGAATAGAATCTTACAGCAGGCCCTGTGTCTTCCCACCTCTCCAATTACAGCCTCCACATTCTACTCCCTCCTCCAAATTCCCTGGAGTGCAGTCTGCACCAGAACTGACAGGAGGAAGCCTCCCTCCCACTTTTACCCACTGGATTATGGCTTTTAGAAAATTCCTCAAAAGATGCCAATAAGGGATTAACTTTAGAGCTAGGAGCAGAATGCAACTGCCAGTTTACTTGTGGCCCCGTTGTTTTCGGATACCACTTCTGCATTCTCATAGTCACTATTGTGCCTTTTCTTTCCAGGATCTGAACCGCCTTAAAAAAAAGCACTTTGCTATTACTATCTTCTAGCTCTTTTTCACTTTCTGAATTTATGGTGTATCGTCCTCCTTATAAACACTCAGTAATTTTTTCTTAGCCGCCGCAGAAGCATTTCGATGGGGCAGTTTTCTGCTACTCTTCCTAATCCAGACATTCTCTGGTCCTGAAATTGTTTCTTTTAGATTACTCATTATCTTTATTTTATTTGCAGCAACAGGAGCACATCTGTGGACAACTTTCTCAGGTATCACTTTTGCTTTCAGAGTTTCACTACGCATTTGCATTGCATCCTTCTGATTATGCATACATGTTCTCATTTTTGTATTGGGTTCTCTGTCTTTAGGAACAGATTCTGAAAAATGAGTAAAAGTTCATGTAAATGCGAAAATCTTGTAACACAAGATTTTACTACTACTTACATTCTCAATGCTCCTATCCTAAACAATTTTAAAACATTGCTAAATAAATTTAAAAACAAATGCTAACACTAAAGCTTTCTGACATGGATTATCAATTTACAATTCCTTACCTACAATCTGTAAGAATGTTACTTAAAATAGCTGCAGACTTATAAGAATGGGGTTAAAAATTTTTTATCATGAAGCCACTCATCTAAAATCACTTTAAAATCCAGTTTTTTAAATAAAACCACATTCACTTTAACTTTTTGGTATTTCTAATCCTTCTTGTTAAACAACTTTAAAATACTCAATTCTGACATAATTTCTTTAGAAACTAAACACAAAAAAAAAGGCTATCGTGACAATGATGACACAGCATCAGGTCTGGCTTCAAAGGATCCTTAAAGTTTTAATTCCAAGACCAGTCTTTCCTTTAGTACAGAAATTGTTAAATTGATCATTAGACAAAAAGAATTTGTACACTGATTTTATGTAACTGAAATGTGACTTTAATCCTATAATCACTTTTCAAATATTTGAGTATTTTTTGTAACTGTTACTATGATCTTAGTTTGTTGTTCAAATTTTTTCTGACCTAGTTACATGCCACACACAGGATTAGGATAAAGATTCTAAAAGTAATTACATTCATATTTAGAGTGCTATGACAATATGATGCACTGGAAACATAGCCTAGCCTAGCCTAAGGGATCAAGGAAGGCTTCCATGGAGGAAGTGTTATTTTAGAACTAAAAATTGTGCAGGATTTACCAGCCAAAAGGCAGGACAAAAAGCACTCTGGAGAAGTCAAGTCCTTCACACAGACTAAGGCCGTTTCCAGAGGTGGCTTGCGATCATGGGGAGCTGTACAGAGGA